ACCCCTCAATTCAGCTACTGAAGTCAGTCCTCAGCAGTGACAGAGGTATGCAAGATGCACCTGCTGTGCACTGCTGCGTGTGCTCGCATCTCCTTTTTGTCACTCAACCTTCAGAGTATTACTAGGCGCTCTCTGTCTGACTGATAGAGTTTGCTGTGACTATGAGCCATTAGACAAGAGGCTGTCTGCATGCCGTTTTTGGATGTGTGATAGCAAAAAGCATATACTTGAATCCTGTTAGTGTGGAAAGCCCTGGAAGTAATTTGTGGCAGTGTGAGCTTAAGTGTGGCCTGGCTGCCAGAGGAAGTGCAGTAATGAAGCTTATGTTCATTAGTGCTGTTAATGCTAGCTGAGCTAACTGTGTTAGAAGTAGCTTGGATTTAGTACCTTGAAATGCTTCTTTATCTGTTTCCATACAGAGTAGACAAATTTCAGGCTTAAACTGAGGAGATCCCACTTCTGGCCTGAGGCCCAAGATTGGTGGCTGAAAAGTGATGCTTTTGCATGTTGATAGATAAACGTTGTGTTATTCCAAATCACCCTGGGCAGGATGTGAAATCTTGGGCTTTCCGGTAGTTTTTAATGCTTTCCAAGTAACTTTGAAAGGACTGGAAGCATAGCTTACAGGACTTACTGATACAGTAAGTTTTGTGCTGAGGGAAGGTATATTACCAAAATTGGGGTTTCCTTTGCATTAGAATAGAGATTTTATTGATAGTATGTGTGTGTGGTAGGTGGAGTGGCCAACATCCATACAAGTTGGGCATTCTCCCCTTTTGTTCACCAATGGGGCTGAAAGCTGTTGGTGATTAGCAAAAAGCATAATGAAACTTGTCTTTCAATTCTCAGCTTCAGAACTGTCTCAGAGAATGATGCTTGGAGTGTGTGTTACAAGCCGCAACGTCTCAGTGAATTAGTACATAGTTCTCAGTGTGCAAGTCATGAGCTGAGTTCAGCCTGCACGGGCTTAACGTTTTCAGCAGGCTGCTTCCCTGCCTTGACTTTGTGTGAATGTTGCCTGTGAGTGCTATTTTGAGAGTTTGCTGCTCTGGAGTTTTGAAGATAATTGCACCCTGGGGAAGGCAAAATTGGAACCAGCTGTTTCACATGGGCATTCCACAACAAACTTGCTGCTGGCAGTAGCCTGCCTTCTTTTTCTGCCTGTTTTCCTAGGTCATTTTTGAGAAGAACTACTCAATTTTATGGGGGCTTTTAAATAGTTATTGTTTTGTAATTAAGATATTGGACTGGGACTTGGAAATTTGAATCCAATTCATAACTATGCTGACCTGTCCCTTCATACTGTGACTTCCTTGCCTTTACAGTGGTCATGATGATATGTGTCTGTCACTTGTTACAAGAATAGATTCATTAACACCTGTGAGATGATAGTATAGCCACATAAATAATTCACTAACTAACATGAGTAGAGGAAAGGGGAATTCGTAGGAAAGACTGAGGACTTGCAGTAAGGCTAGATTGCTTGTTGTGGATAGTTTGGCCTGTTTTATTCCAAATCCTTTCAGATGGAGTAGATGGGATCGGTGAGAACAAACGTCAGAGTCTGAGGACTGCACAGACTCAGCCATTTTCCCAGCTTCTCTGCCCACAGTTTTTGTTAATCTGATCTCTTTACCTGCCTTGTAAAGCATTTTGGGAAGGCAGAAAGTCCATTTTATTTTGACAGGGGAATAAACCAAGGGTTACAGTGAGAGGTTCAAGCTGTTCTGCCTGTAAGTCAACATCAGAGAACTAGAGTCTTGTGTGGCCTTCGTGGATGAGCATGTAGTCTCTGCAGGAACCACTGCAGGAGTGTAAGATAGTGTGCAGTACAGTTCCACAAAGGCTTCTATGAAATGGCACCCATTAACATCAATGAGCTTCTGTTCAAACCTCTAGTAAGGGCAATACTACCTGGAACAGCAAACAAGCAATGTTACATGTATTTCATTAATGCGTCAAGCCTGAGCAGTGGCTGAAAGGAGCAGTCTTGCCTGCTGGCAGCTACCAAGCTTCTAGTTTCCTCCGCTTTGTACTAGCATGGAAGCTTGTCTGGCTCCACAGCAAACTGGGTCAGGGGAACCAATCTGACTGAAAACGAACATGGCATCAAAATGGGTTCCCCAGTCTTTGCATAGACTACAGATACTTGCTGTGGTACAAGGGAGGAGTGACATGGAGGGCAGAAACTAGCGATGAGAGCGTTGGCTTTTTGTAGCAGTGCTGACTTACAGGTATTTGAAATTTTGTCAGATTGTAACACAAAAAATAAAATTGGAAACTATACCCCCACAGTACAATTCCAGTGAAGGCTAGACTAGCTATATATATATATATGTATATGTGTGTGTGTATACGTGTATGTACAATGTAAGCGATGGGAGGGAGCTGTTCTGATGGCATCTTTTTCTTTCTTCAGGCTGTGATTCTTTTTTTTTGCCTGTGCTTGTAGGGGAGGCAACCCTAGTACAGCCTTGGGATGAATGAGAACTTCAATTGCAGTGAAGGTGGCGTTTACTGACATGTTTTGTACCACTTTTCATTATATTGAGTGCCTTCAGATCAGCTCTTTTGGTGCGGAATGAGTAGTGAAAGGTAAATTATGCAGTCATGTTTGATGAGGCTTGAAAGATGTTGCACTAAATCTTTTTACTTACGATCTTCCAAAACAGTTGGCTCAAGGAGTGTAAGGTTGTTTTTTCTTTTTAATTATAAGCGTTTTGTGAAAATTGACTTTTACCTCCCCCCAGTTTAATGTCACCGAATTTATGTGCTTTTACAATAGGTATCAATATACATTGTTCTTTATTTAAATATCTTTGTATATCTGTATATAGTTAATGTATTTGGAGGATAAGGAATATTTTTAAAGTCACACTAGGTTTTAATAATTTAAACTGTCTCTAAAATGCCCTATTACTTTAGCACTTCCTGCCAGAATCATATTTTGAGAGAGTTTTGCCCTTTATTCATAGATCTTCTGCTTCAGAGCTATCTTTTTGTATTTGTCATTTCAATTTAAGATTTTGTGACTTACTCTGAGGTTCCAGTGATCTGACTGAATGCAGGACCCTATTATGCCTAGCGCTTTTCTGGATACAGTAAGAAAACCCAAGCTTTCTGAGCCAGGGATGATCTGAAGCAAGAGGGCAACAAAAATAACTCCAGAATATCCTCACTTTATATAAGGATGGAATATGCAAGTTTGTGAACTGGGCAGGGTTGCAAAGAAGACTCTTGTGTAGCTGGGAATCAAAACCTGACTTCCTCAGAGTAACGTAGTACCTTGCTAACCAGATAAGGAGCCTCCCCTTTTTAAGGGGTAGAATTAAATCTGAGCTTTCTTTCTGCAGACCTGTAGGGCCTTCCAGCCACGTGAGGTCATGATACTTGATCAAATTTGTCTTAGCAATCTCTAACAAGTCTCTAACCCTGTCGTGGTGCTCATGACACCCTTGTATCTCTTTTCTGTTTTTATTGCAATAGGTAAAGTTGGTGTTCAGTAAAGTATGAACAGTGCTCAAAAACTATAGGATTCTGTGAGGGGTTCTCAACTAAAGATGTACTCCCACACAGTGCAACATCTTGTAATGCTAAGGTGGAAAAATGAGTGGTAGCATATCCAACAGGTTGCATCCACATAACCTGGACAGAAAGAATAGCAGAAGTGAATGTGGCAAATCATTAGGCTTGCCAACTATTTTCAGAGAGATAAAAGATGCTGCAAAGCTAAAAATGGCCGAACGAGAGAAGCAGTCGTCAGGAAAGGTTGGAGGCGAGTACTAGGAGCAATGCAAATAATAGTCGTCTTTACTTCTGCCTGGTCGCTTTGAAGGCACTTCTGGCTAATGCAGATAGGCTGTGTTCCATCTAAGTCAGGCCTTTACAATGCGTTATCATCTTTGTGGCCTTAAGCTGAGCCTCTGCTAAGCGTTATTGTCTCTCCTGTAGTTACTTCTCTGTCTGGCATGGTGCATAGGTATACCAGAGAATGGCTGACAAGCGTGTCGGGTGTTGAGTAATAATGTCTCTTTTATTCAGAACTCTGTCACTCTTTGCTAATACATCCATAATGCCTCCTGTTTCCCCTGCCTTGCCACTTTATAATCAGTGGGAGATCACCTCCATTGGGTTTTGTGTGATGTTTTTTATTTCAAGTGATGCTGTCAAAATTCCCATCTCACAAAGCCCCTTTTATTTTTCACACTGGAAGAAGTTTTTGAAATAGAATGCACGTTCCTCCGTTTGTGATGCCTATTTATTTTCTTTTCTTTGCATGGTGAAATTAAGTGGCCAGTTTCATTTTTCTACTTTGCAATAATTGTTGTGTTATAATTTGCATGTGCTTGCAGGATGTTACTTTTTGTTTTTTCGGTGCTGTGGGAGATTATTTAATAAAGAATAAGTTGTTGTTTTTTTAAAGGTTGGAGAATGTTATATTTATCTGAAAGGCTGTATGGAAAACTTCTTGAAATATATATTAACTAGGGCCAAGAAAACTGATCAAAAAATACTCAGATGAATGACCCAATCCGGTGGGTAGATGTGGTGAGCTGTAAGCAGAATATATGAATTTATTTCAAGTTGTGCTAATGATTGATGGCATGCTTTCAAGCGAGTTGCTTTCTATGCCTTAGATTCCTGACTTTTTTCCCCTGTAGGTACAAATCCCTTCATATTTAAGGGTAGCATTTGTCTGCTGGGTTATCTAATAATGGATTATGAATCCACTGATCATATGGATTCTTGAATTTTGTGGGTTGCTCATTAGGGGCATGAGACGGCATTCACCTGTGCAGTGGTGCTGATGTGCTGGCATTGGCACATTTCCTTATGCATTTTATGGCTGCACGCGGCTACTATCACCAAGTCATGTTGTTCCACTAATGACTGAATGGAGAGTCATAAAGAATGGATACTTATTATTGTCCTTGTTTTCACAGTCCCTTTTCTGGCCTGGAACAATGCCACAGTTCCGCATACATCCTTTGCAAGAACAAAGAAGGGCAGGCCTTTCTATAGCGAGTAAGTTTCACCCGGCTCTCCATGTGCTGTGAATACCCATATGTGGTACATCTGCATTGCATAAGTGTAAGCTAGACTCTTACAGAGGTTTTAAATCTTATCCCTCATCCTCTCTATATAAGAAGTCTTTTGACATGGAGATGCCTTAGGTTTAGATTGGTATTTGGTATAGGACCTTAGTGCCAAAATTTCTCCAGTGTCCTACAGTTCTCTTGAAAGATGATAAATTATCCTTAGCATTCTAGAGGGTTGTCATGCTACACTGCTTGATGTGCCTCCAGGAATAATACGAGTGGATAAACAGGGAGGAGACAGTTATGTGGGCAAAGATGTTCAGTGTAGCAATGAACATCAGATGTGGCATAGGTTAACCTGTGCACAAATAAATGAATGCATTAGCCGCTGTTTGTAGGCAGAATCACTGAGACTGTGTGTTTAGATTTCTGAATGTTTTAGGAAGAACGCGAGACAGAGGGTAGCAGCTAATTATATAACTGAAGAAAAAGAGAACAGTTCTCAATGCACTCTTTGCCTGTGCAGGAAGAGGTGGTTTTCCTAAACACCCATTGCATACGGTTTGTTGCTACAGTTTCCTGTAAGAATGGACCAAGTGTGCATGGCGGAAGGACAGAAGGTTAATGTCAAGCTGGGGAACACAGTCACAAGAGGGTGCTTAGTAAATGGCTTTATGCAGAAGGGATGTTGATCCTTCTATCTGAGCCTGCATAGAGGATGCAGGTCTACTGCTAAGCGGTTTGTTGGGAGAGGTCTCATGGATTGAGGCTAGATATCTTTGCTTTTAGAGTGTTTTGAAGAGGGTTTTATTCTGCAGTGGGGTGTGTCATTTATACAAAGATTGTGCTGGATACTGATTTTGCATTTTCCATGTTGTTTATTATAACAACCTAGAAAGGAGACCACTGGTTCCACTCTGACTCTGTGGTGTTTTGAGAAGTGATTGGCATGAGCCTTCCATAGAGAAGCACCTGCTGATCAGCTTCTGAAAGCTTCTGCAATTCGACCCAGTTTCTTGCTCACCAGCTCAGTGGGGTGCAGACAAGATCTAAGGCTTTTATGCATCACAGAAGGTTATGGATCTTTTGTGTCGCACAGAGCCCTTCTGATGCTGCGCTGCAGTATGGTGTTTTCTCTGCTCGGGAAAAAGATTTCTCTTCCCCTTTCTCTTATTTCCCAGATAAACCATATCCAATCAAAGTCTCACATGTAAATTTAGTGGGTGACTTTATTTTCATTTATGCCACTGAGATGAGAGGGTGGCTAAAGGCTCTCTGTGTTGAGACCTCAGTTACAAAAAGCAGAATGTTTTAATCTGGCGTAAGGGATTCAAACTGAAATGTTAATCAGCTTCAGAAAGATTCTATTTTTAGAGCTGCAGCATTGGATTCCAGTCCCAAGTTGTCATGTGATCAGAAGAGTGAGAGTGGTGGGTTTGTTGTTGTTGTTGTTTTTTTCCTTTAAAGAGCCAGAGAAAGTGTCTGTGTCAGCTGTTTGCTGCTGGGGTTGCTGTGTGTGTTCTGGAGTCTCCACTGTCCTTAAAGGAATTGCGTATCTTCATTTATTTTACTTAGGTTTTCCTAAAAATGACCATCCTCTGTCATTTGGTTTTGTATTGTAGCAAACAGTCTGATCTTCAGAGATGCTTATATTCTAAATGAAAGCTTGGCCTGATGTTGCTAGGAAATATGAAGCAAATAGTTTGACAAATGTGTATCTTCTTCAGAAACTTCCTGCAGAGCTTTAAAAATACATTTTTATGGCTAGCAAAAGTCAGGAGAGCTACAGTGGTTTCAGTGAAATAGCTAGCACCGGCTAGTAAATAGCTAGTGAAACATTTCTACTGTAGTTTATGACTGCTAGTTCTATGCACAAATATGTATCAAACCAGATTAGAAGTTGGGAGCTTCCAAGGCAAAAGTTGCTTTTGAACGAGCTTAGAATTCAGTTCTGTTAAAGCAGTTAGTAGACTCTTACAAATAACTTCCCTTACTATTAACACATTGCAGATGCAGACTTTTTGAAGTCTACTAATTTGAACAGCTGCTTTGTAAAAACGCTGCTTCATAAGTGGAATCAAGTTGCCCAGAGAGGATGTGGACTCTCCATCCTTGGAGATACTCAAAACTCTACTGGACTTGGCCCTGAGCAACCTGAATCTGCTTTGAGGAGGAGGCTGGACTCAGCGACCTTTGGATTTCTTTTCCAGTCTACACGATTCCGTGATTCTGTGAACTAAAACTGATGCTTGAATAATCTCTTACCCTCCTTTGTGCTGATCTGAGATGTTGAACATGCATATTAAGACACATGGCTTAATTACCTTCCCCTCCTCTCTAGGGATCTCCAAGCAAGTTGCAAAAAAATAAAATGAGTTGAAAAAAACCAATGAATGAAGCTTCCCTTCGTCTTCTCCCATCAGTAAAGGATGATGAGAAAGAGTTAAGAAAGGACTCGATTAGGGTCACAGTGACAAGATGGGATTCGTTTGGTGATAAGGTCTATTAGATGATTGTGTCTTGGTACGTGTTAACCTAGGGTGATCACTAACACTGTGATTCCATGGAAAAGTTCTGGCAAAGGGAAGCAAAAGTAATGGGACTCCTTTTTAGAGTTCCACTGCTTGTGCTTATAGAACACTTAAGGGCTTCTGTGCTCTGAAAGCTCTGAGTCTGTATTGGCCACACTGCTGTCTTACCCCTGTCTTTCCCATATATGAAGACTTGGAGGGGTTGGGTGTGCAACTGGTGAATCAGGCAAAGGAGCGTTTCCTTGTTAACCTCATTTTTTCCAAGTAGAATGAAAAAATCCTCTAGCTAATTCTGGAGATTAAGTTGCTCAGAAGTTAAGTTGCGTGCATGATGCAATCAAAGTGCAAGTATATGCAACACTATCAAAACTAGTGTTTAGAACCCAATTGCCTAAATAGTTATGAATCAGAGAGCCATTAGAGGTTTGTGGGATTTGCTTAATATTCTTAATATGGAGTCAGCATATATTCTGAGGTAGCAAATGGCTTGGCAGAGGGATAAAAGTGAGGTTAAGCCTAAACAATTCTTGATCTTAAGGCTAAAGTCCTCTATTGGAGAAAGAGAAAGCAGGATACTAGGACGGTAACCTAGAGCATAAACTTAACAGGGAAGCAGGTGAGGTACCAGAGGGTGAACAAGAGTGTGGTGTTGGTAAATGCACATTAAAAAAAATAACAGTGTGTGCAGAGTAGGGTGTTAGCAGTGTCAGGGGATCCAGATACAATTCCAGGAAGTGAGAGGAAGGAGAGGCTGTTACCAGCAGTGATTGTTTCATCTAGTAATTAGTTCTTAAATCTCCTGCAAGTCAAATAAAGCAGAGGATGTGAGCTTCTGAGAACCATTCCCTCCTCCCCTTCCCCACACCCTCTTTTGAACATTCTCAAGTGAAGACTGTATTCATGTGAGATTTGATAGTGGGGAGTTTGCTGACAATGTTGAATAAGTGTTGGAGTGGGGCTCAAGACTGTGGGGTCTTTTTCATGATCTGTCACTGATGTACTGTGTAACCTTGGGTGAGTTGTTCCCCTGTTCTTCTTCCCTTTATTTTTCTTTTACCTGGTAGGTGGGTTTGAAAGTCAAACTACAGAATATACTGTCTTGTGCACTAAGATTTTTCTGGAGTATGGTGAGGTGGAAAATGTTAATGATCCTCTGACTATTGAAGCAAAATCTCTAGCTAAACTGTTGGCATGCTGGCACAGTCATCCTTCCCTCCCCTTCACAGAGGAGAATTGTGTACAGCTGGAATGCAGCAGGGCAATATGGGGTAGACCTGCTGCTGAGAAGTATTGCAGCCCAAGTTACCTGGAAATGCCCAGCTTGTTCTGCTACCATCTGCTATTCATTGAGTGGTAGTTTTGTAAATAGCTTTGTGGATAGATATTTACTCTCTTCTCTTTGACCCCAAATAACTGATAATCTGAGTTAAGTAGAAGACTCTGTGCTGAAGTAGAGATTGCATATGATCCAACCTTGCTAGCAATTGTAAAGCCACAGTGCTTCCAGCTCCACTGTTGCCAGGCTGCAGGATGTGTTGTAGGAAACAAATATCCTTTATTCTCAAGAGAAGCTCTAACTGTACGAGGACAGGGGTTTCTTGGTATCAGATGGTCTTTGTCCTCATTGTCCAACAGTAAGCCCATTAATGAGTGTGTGTGTGCGTGAGTGTGGGAGCACTGAAGTCGTATCTCCGCAGTGGGCCACATCCAAAAGCAATGAGACTTTGCCTCACCTGCTTAGTGGGAGGTCTTTGGCAGAGAAAATCTGGCTATCACCTCTTCTTCCTTGCGGTGCTGGCTTTGGTTGGGTCTAGGTTGTGAACCTATTATTCAGGGCCTTATCCATGCTGGTGTTAAGCTGCTGGTGTATATTAGTACCTGATGTGTATTCCAAGAGCAGACAGTGGCACGTTTCTCCCTCCGCCATGTTTCTAAGTTCCTATATAGCAAAAGAAGTCCATAGATTAGAAAGATTAGAAGATTAGAAAGTAGTCCTCAGACAGAAGCACATGGGTTCATCCATTAATTTTCTTGTCCTATCCTTTCCCCATTGTGTCCCCTTGCTAAGTATTGAAAGGGGCTGCCTCTTTAGTTCAAATAACAATTTGAAAATCGTGGCTGCTGCTGCAGTATTTGATGTTTTTGGCACTGTTCATTGCTACCCAAAGCAAGCTGGGAATTAATCTGTCATTCTCTTGCCTCATAGCTTGAGGCTATACTCAGTAGTTCAAGTTGCAACAGATCTGGAAGATGTTCCCCTCAGCTGCAGCAGAAAGCTAATGCCATAGTACAGTGCGTTGTCTTGTAAGTGATGACTTCAGTATGCTCGTTTCCCATCAAGAGGACAACTAAACCGGTCTGTGCAGTATTGCAGGGAACTCCTGGCTGCCACTGTATGTGTCAGCTTTAAAAAGACCCCTAAGCCTTTGCTCTGGAGAGAACCATCAGTATGTTT